TCTGGTTATTACGGTCAAAAACAAAATGAAAGTCAGGTTAAAGATTTTAGGTTGGGTGCTAAAAGCAACTCAACAAACTTAACATCATTAAGTTTACCTAATCAACATGCTAAATGCTTGTACTGGATATGCATGACTGTTCACATGCGCAGTGAAGTGAAAACAACAGACATGATTCAGAGTGATCCTGAGATAAGGAACACATGGGTGTTACATGTGCTGCTGTTATGCTTTCAGTTTTCAGTTAGTATTTAACTTGCCATTATCATTCACACACAAGCATAGCTAGATTTTTATTGACAGTTCCAGATCTTAGGGTAAATTGGTATCATGTAACAGTCCAATGCACCACATGACCCAAGTGCAAACAGTTCAGCTGGGGTGAGAAAGTATTAGAGGCCCTATACCAACTCATTTATTTGTGCAGTAAAACTCTCCTTAGCTTATATGGTCTCATGTGATGTTCTCCACTGAAGGGTGGAAAAGACATTAGACGTTAGATATTTTATTTTTATTAAAATGGAATAATGATCCTCAAATTAAACCTTAACATTATGGAGAATAGCGCAGGCAACAATTTATCTGTAATTTATTGTCCATAATAAACCCAGTTCTCTAAAATAAAATCATATGGCCCATGACGGTTTTATTGGTGGGTTACAATGCACAAAAGGAATATTAAGGAATATCATTTTTGCACCACGTCTAATATAAGACAGTGTTTCTTTTTTTTCCCCAAAGGTTAAGGCACTAAATTAGATCCATAAACCAAACAGAAAAAAGTCTATTGAAATATTAACAGAGCATGTTGCATTTGCTTTCAAAACAAAAGCTCCCAAATCAATGAGTCTTCTTGTGACACAAATGTGCAATAGGTTTTGAACATAAGGCTTAGAGGGTGTAAAGCTCATTAGTTAGTTTCTCTACTGAGGCGGATTCAGGCATGACTTTGGGATTAAACGGCTTTTGGAATGCTATTGTCTAAGCAGCCTCTAAAACTGAAGGAACACTTGGAGGGGACCAGGTCTTTCTATGCATACAAACTCTAAAGATACGGATAACTTGTTCTTGTTTGACAGAATTGGGAGAGTGTCTCGAAATTAATGAACTGTAGTCCATTAATCTGTTCTTGATTATGCTTGTCTATATATAGATATTTCATTAAACATGGGCATCATACCTCTGACTTTCTCTCTTCAAACAGTGTATAATTTAGATCCTATATTGGAATTTAGACTGTAGAGCAGGGATTTTATTTTTGCATTGAAATATATAAAACAATAAAAGTAAAATTGATTTAAATAATGTAAACATTTAAAAAATACATTATAATTAAACATATTATATGTTAAATATATTATAGTATGTTGAATTATTTATAATTGTCAAAAAATTAAATTGGATATAATATAGTTGGATATATAATATAGTTGGGTATATAATAACCTTTACTTTTGGCCCACGGCTCTCAATCAAGTTTGACTTTTGGTTCTTTGTATTAAAAACTTCGGGCACCTCTTCTGTAGAGGAATATGAGGTTATGTGCCTTTCTCAAGAGCACAATGGTCACGTTCTCACATCACACACTGGATGCTTTGCTAAGACAAAACATCTCAAACATGCATCCAAGTAACGATGGCCACAGTAGGATTAATTAATGACTGTGTTAATGGGCCCATTAAACAAATGATCATATCAACCAATGGTGCTGCTTTCTTGTGAACACATATACATTATAATTGAACTGGAATGGCTTGTATTTAGAGTTGAGATGTTTAAAATGCATGAAGCTCTGATCAAGATTGCAATTAATTTTGACATTATTACCAGGCTGTTGAATTTAAAGCAGGTGTTCTTTTCATGTTTATCTTCCAGAACATGTTTTGACTCTCTTATCCCCTCCATCTACCAGGGCAGCATCTATCTATCAGACTCACAATGAGATCATTCTTAGAGGTAATTTTCTCAAATAATAATTTACAAACTCGTAGTGATAAGAAAATATGCCTCCCCTTTTGGATAAGTAAGCAGCTCAAAAAGTGTAATTTTTTCACTTTTCCAGTGAAAGGTTGAGAATATGCATCTGACGGATGATTATACATGATAACATTTTACATATCTCTAAGTTCTGGTTTATTTACACAATTTTTTTGAGATCAAACTCACTGTCAACTGTCTCTCAGCAGGCCTATTGGTTTGGACGTGCAGAACGTGAAGATTATTTGGCAGCAGTGAACACAGACTCGTCTTATCAGCACTCCTAGGATTTAATTGCTGCTCATTTTTTCTTGTTCTGTTTTATGCACTTAAATTTGACTGCGGACAAAACCGACACATTCATTGGTATTTAAGTTACAATGTAAACATTTAACAAATACTAACGATTGCATATCAAATTATAACTCACAAATGGAATCATATTTTGTACTTAGAAATTTATTTTTTGCCCTGTAAATCCTTTTTATTTTAGAGACTTTCAAGGTACAATATGTAAGATTTTTGTAATAAAATATCCAAAAAGTATCACTTTAACTATTTAACTTTGTAATTGGTTAAATTTATTGTGTCACAACTCAATACAGCTCATATTATTGCTAAGTGTTGGTATAAATTACATGTGCATGAAAAATGTGTGACACGGGCAATACAGTGTAAAGTATCACCAACCCTGTTTATCTCAATCAGTGCATGGTGTAAATGGATGTTCGAGCACGCACACTGCCTTTAAAAACCCGTGAAACGTGATTCCATGTTTTGCTTACTCTTGCCGTGAACAGAAATAGCCGCAATGAGGTAATGTGTGCAGCGGTGTTGCTCCATGCGCGCGGAAGGCGATTGGTCGCGCGCTTCAGCTCCACGTTTTGCACGAGCCCAGTTCCAGACTTTTGCGGCAAGCAGTTTCAACATTTATCCATTACACGTAATGTCTATTTACTAGTTAATATTTTAATTACTAGTACACTGTAACATATTGTAAATAAAAGAAAGATTGTTTGAGTATGGTTTACAATAAAATACTAATTCATGTTTATTCAGTGTGTTACTTAGGCATACTTCTTTCTTTTTACTGTTTACTTGCTTCAGTTTACTAGCGATTTCTGTACTTTCCAAATTTATTTCAGTGTAAGTAATAGTATGTAGCACTTTTTTACTAGAAATGTCTACTAGTAAGCTACTTCTTTTATAGATACTACTACTTATTTCAATACTGACTAGTATCTATTCAATTTAATTTGATTCTAGTTTCAATACTTCTACTACTTATTGATTAGATAAATAATTAGAAAGCTTGATACTTTTCACTAGGCCTATAATTTTTATCTCACTGGTTACAGTTGCTTTTTTCCTTGTCAAATTTGGGGGTGTTTACAGAACACCATTTTCAACTAAAAACTGAAAACTTTTTATGTATTTTGGTCATTCATTTACACAACAACAGCGATTTGGCTGTCTGAAAGTGCAAACTTTTGAAAACAGGTTTCAAAATGCAAGTTTTCGAAACCGATACCATTATCGTCTCAGTGTAAACTACAAAAACGTGAATTTGTGAAAATGGTGTTGTCATTTGCATGCTTATTACATATTCATTGGGTATGTGCACAGGCTGTAGTGTTTCTCTGCTAAGTGACATCGCAAACTATTGGCCTGGCATGCATAATACAGCATTTAAGTGCTACTACACTGAAAAAAAAAAACTGTAGAAAACGTGGTCACAAACAATTACAAAGAAACAGCAAGTAACACATTGAAATTTTTAAGTAGAAATAAAAAAAGGATTTTCTTGTGAAACATTTCTTGCATAAAATCTTGTGAAATAATTTTTTTACAGTGTAGGAATACTGGAACACCTATCTATTATGAAACAGATTCAGGAAAACCGGAAAATTTAAGTACAACCTCCAAGGAACAACTAGTAAACCTGCTTTCCTGAAAGTAGTTAAAGGTACAATATGTAAGATTTTTGTAATAAAATATCCAAAAACCACTTGCACAGTGTTATATATTTCATGCAGTTGTGTACTTACATTATCTCAAAAGTTCCCAAGGATTTGTAAATCCAGAGAAATTCCAGTTTTAAATAATGACTCGTCGCCTATAAATGACGCAATATCCGCGCTATCCTCGGTTTCCGCTTATGAATATTACGGCAACACACGTGGAGAAATGCGGAAGTGTTAGTTATACCGCATGCAGCGCGCCACTGTTGTGCATTTACATTATCATGCAATGACGCAATATCCGCGCTATCCTTGGTTTCCGCTTATGAATACTACGGCAACACACGTGGAGAAATGCGGAAGTGTTAGTTATACCGCATGCAGCGCGCCACTGTTGTGCATTTACATTATCATGGATCACGATTACACTTTGGAGAGTATGGAAAATCCCAAAAAACATAGATGTACACTAATTGATGAAGTTGCACATTGTACTTCAGTACGTTAACGGTTTTTATCAAGTCTGGTGAGCAAACCTATGGTAATGTAATTAAATACAGTATGTGCTGCACAAAAACATTTAGCCGTACTTGCAAATACGGTGCGTTCCTTCAAATTTACTTTTAGAACGACTGTTTTACACACGTAAAAATGCACATCATTAACCCGCCAAATCATGACAAATAGTCACATATCAGTAAAAGGCTAATATAGAATCAAATTTCATGTTCTTTGCAGATAATCCATTACGATTACATCAAATACTGTTATCAAATGTACAGGTAAGTTCATAAAAAAAAAGTAATACATTACCTCATCCGTGAAAATTATTTGTGAAAACGACATCTCCCATCATTCCATGCTCCGTCATTGCATCATCGAGCTTCGCTTCTGTTATTGTTTTGAAAATGCGACCTCTAGCGGCGAAAACTTACATATTGTACCTTTATGAGAAATAGCCTACATGATAAATTGGCTTGCCACAGGCGTGAATGTAGTCAGATTGAAGGTTGGCTTTGCTCCGCCCCTGGCTTGATTGTATATGAGCGCTGACCGAGAAGCATGCAGCAGTTTATTTCGTAATGTTTTTGATGCGGAGGCTGGCGCTGAATGCAGTCTGTATTTGTAGAGCATACGCTTTTTATTGACTTGGATTAGGAGGGATTGTAAACTCGTTCATCTCTGGGATTGTCAGTTACTTTTTGCTGTTGCCGACTGCGGTGCGACGCACTCAGCAGATTCAAGCAGAGAGGTAAAGGTTACAAAGTTTAGCCTGCTTATGAATGCTCATGACACAGTTAGACCCGTGTGTGTTTAATCGTGCATATCGCAAACAAGTTTCGCTTTAATGTTGAACTGTTTCTAAACCAAATCCTAGTGCCCTCTAACTATCTATTGACACTATACAGTATGTTTACGCAAATTGCCATATTAACTTTTGCAAACTGATTTTCAGTGGAATGGTAGACCGCATGATGGCAATGAACCATGGACGTTTCCCAGATGCTGTGAATGGGCATCAGCACTCCGCGCGCAGGATGGTAATGGGACAGTTTTCCAACGCGCTTCCCCAGCAGCAGCAGCAGCATTATAACGTTATCATGGGAGATCACATGCATTACGCGGGAGGGAATGTAAACGCAAACCACGGGATCCGGCATTCCATGACCTCTGGAAATAATATAAACGGAGGGATTCCCAATGGCAACTTGCCTGCCCGCTTTAACTCCCAGTTTGTCGGACAAGGGCAGCAGCTCGCTGCCAGCATGCAGTTGCAGAAGCTCAACACGCCTTACTACGGTCACCTCACGCATCCTTCTCATCATCACTATTACATGCACGAACTGCACCCCGCCAGCCCCCAGTTAAACGGGACAGGACAGCAGTTCCGAGACAGTAACGCTAAGCAGAACACGTCTGGGGTTCCTCTGTCTGGCCACCACATGCCTGCAGCAATGCTGCCCCCCAACGTTATCGACACGGATTTTATTGACGAGGAGGTCTTGATGTCACTGGTGATAGAAATGGGCTTGGACCGAATAAAGGAGCTGCCAGAGCTCTGGCTGGGACAGAATGAGTTTGATTTCATGACAGACTTCGTTTGTAAGCAACAGCCCAGCCGAGTGAGCTGTTAATCTCACCTTTTCCGTTTTTGTTCCTTTTTTTTTTGGTTTTGTCCTTTTTTATGAGACTGATATTACTGGTGTGTTTTCCTAGATCCATAAACCACAGGGTTCCCACAGTCCTGGATACATCAGGGAGTTTCAAAAGTGTGATTTCCAGGCCTGAAAAAGTCATGGGGATTAATTAAATATGTTAAAGTTCATGGAAATTTGTGTAGTCAATATCAATTTTTTTTTAGATTCCATTGATGTAAAAAAATGAATGCGATCTCTATATTTTTAAAAATCCTTCAGATCACAGATGACTGGAGAAGGGGGAAATCATTTAAATTCATTAGTTAGAAAGTGTGGGAACCCTGAAATCTAAATGATGAACCCACAAAACAGCCATGGAAGTACCGTTCAAGAGTAAACTATCATCAGCTGGTTAATGCCATTATGTTACAGAAATGGATTTGTTTTGCATGAGGATGGTTTGGACACCTAAGACTCATGCTATGCATCACATACGCAGGGGCTGGAGAGAGAAATGCAAAGAAATCCCTGAAAACTCAAGAATATCTGTTCAGTATTAATGTAGCAGACAAAATAGACAAAAAAAAATCATGTTTTGTTCCTTCAGACACTTTTAACATGAGACCTCCAGTGATATCAGATGTCAGTGAATGCATATTCTAAATAATGTTGGTGGTTATGTGACATGATTGTAAATAATAGTGTGTAATTGTCTCAATCAGCAATGTACTATAAACTTTAGTGGCCATATTTACCAGATTCCTGTGCTGCTCAGAGATTCACTGAACTGTGAGCAGATGCTTGAAGTTGTTCTTCTCTCCACCCTTTCTACATCTACTCAGGCTCATGTTGCCTCCATGATGCTTGTATGTATATCAGAGCCTAAAACATATACGGAAGTGATATGAATGTGAGCGAGAGTGTGCATTTGCCAGCTACTCTATATGCTTAATTGAGTACAGTGTATCAGAAAGTCCAGGAAAAGACATTCCGATCCTGAATGTCATAGTCTGGAATGTTGTAAAGGAAGGGAATGTGGAAATATCCCAACACAGAAGAGTTTCATCTTCATCGGTTTTGAAAAATAGATAGACCACTGTGCTTATTATAGTATGCGGTACATGGCAATACTACTGTGTTGAGGCTTTCTAGGAAAGTTTTACAGTATTTTTGTATATTTTTAGAATAAAATGTTAATTTATTATATTTTAATTTGCAAACATAAATAAAGCAGCAGAGGCTCATTACTGAAGTCAATGCCCTGTTCTTTTGGGTGTCAGCATCATTTATGATTCCAAATTTGAATTATGATGTTCTATTCATGTCAGTTTTACAATTAAAGTTCTCTTCTAATCAACATAATACAATGTTTTTGTTGTAACATCATAAATCTGTATATGCAGCGAGTTTCTTTTTAACCTACACTTTGTCAAGCTAATTGGTTTTAGCATTTTTTGATTTGATTTGTTTTTAATTTTATTCTTAAATAACATTTAAGTGAAAGTGAACAAATATCAAGCATTTATTTAGCAAAGAATGTCCTTTTATAGTCCTCTCTTTAAATTAAGTCACTTTGGGCAACTTGTCCATGTCTCGTTGTAGAAAATATGCACATTTGAAAAAGCTCACTGTAGATGTGTTTTAAAATGCAAGACCAAGTGCTGGGTAAAACGTCCAGTTTCACTGCATGAATAATTATCATGCAAATAGGTAGCATTCAGCAGAGTTTGTCCTGCAGTGAAATTGAAGCTTCTCGGAGTTGTCAGCTTACTAGTGCCAAGCACAGTCTAAAAACCATCAAGGGCTGATAGACTGAGCATTAGCATAATTTGGCATTCAAGATATACTGAAGTGGGAAATGAGAGCGCATCCTCATCCAGAACTGTATTTAACAATGATCTCAAACGTTCTTCCAGAGTTATATGTAATGCAATATGATTATGCAAATGATGATCAATTTCAGTGTGCATCAGGAACATTAAGTGCTGATGTAATAAGTGTCTTAGTATTTTAGCCATGTCTAAAATGTCTACATTTTTGTATTAAATGGGATAGTTCACCCAAAAATGGCAAAATTCGTCACCTTTTACTCACCCTAATGTCATTCCAACCCCAAAAGACTTTGGTTTATTTAGATATTTAAGATATTTTGATTTTGATTAAGATATTTTGAGTGAAACCTGAGAAGTTTCTGTCCCTAGAAAATCCAGGTAACCAAAACGTAGAAGATCCAAAAAGGTAATAAAGGCATCAAAATCTAATCCATTTGAACTGAGCAAATTGATCCCAGTCTTGCATGGAGATATAATCGCTTTATATGATTATTTAGATTTGGAATAGTTTGAAAACATTTTTAACCAAAATTGTATGGGTTTGGAATGACATGAGGATGAGTAAATGATGACAGAATTATTATTATTATTTTATTTTTTTGGGGGTAAACTATCCCTTTAAGGTCAAGTACACTGAAAAAAATGATACTAAATTTCTTTAAGGTAAGATTGCAACCACTTACCTTAAAAAAATGTAGTAAATTCAATGAATAATTTTTTTTCAGTGCATGTACCTTTCATTAACAGTACATCAGCACTGAAAAGTACAAATTTAGTAAAATTTGAAAGTAAAATTTAAAAACTTTAGAACTTTAAAAAAAAAAAACTTCACAATATTAAGTACTAGAAAAACGAACTACTTTTGATATACTATTACATTATCTTAAGTCCTATATTGAATAAGCATTTTGCTCAAATGATGCCACTCTAATTCTAATTTCAGTGCTTCCCTGTGGTGATGTTGACTGTAATGCCATTTTTAATGGCAGAAGCCAACAGCCTCCACTGCTAAATGTGGAGCAGACCTTCAGGTAAAGAGCCTGTGGAGTCAAACTGTGTGTGCTTGATGGCTAAGTTCTCAAGTTCCTTCATTCTTTAGTTCTTGCAAAGGCAATTATTCAGAGCACCATTATGTATCCATTACAGCAAGATAATTTGAAAAGAATTTTAAACACAGCTTATATCAATAATTGAGACTAATAAAAAGGAAATGTCAAAAGACGAAAGATGAATTTTGCAGAGAATATGCGGGCACACGCTCT